TTTGTGTTTCAAAATTATATATGTATAGCATTTTTTTACATAAATTATATATATAGGCCTAATTAATATAAATTTTATATATATATATATCAACACCGCGCCACCAGCGGTAGTTGGTCCATTACCACCGTGGTGGTAAAAATCTGCCACCGTCACAGCAAGTCGGAATTTAGCAGTAAGATCATGTTTTCATGAACTTTAGCTTCTGTTTTACTTGACGGTACTGTTATACTATTACTATTATTTGCTAAATGGTGTTTGGTATGTGTTTTTGATGTTTTTTTTTTTATTGGTTTAGACAGAATGAAAAAAAAAGAAGATATTTTTACATTTGGCATTAAATTGCAACCAATGCAGTACTAAAATTTATTAAGCAAATATCCCCAATTAAATTGCATTCAATTTGCAGAGGCATATTTTGGCATTATGCAAAAAGATTAATTGCATATAAAAAATTGTAAAATACACAGTTTTGCCTAGGGCTGTCACGATAACAACTTTTTGTTGTGCGATATATTGCCCCAGAAATAATTTGCGAAAAGCGATGATATTGTCATTTTAAAGACATTTAATGCCACAGAATATATAATCATAATATAACAGCATAATAATGCAAGAAGGCCTACACACTTTCAAATAACAACACACTTTTAATTCTTAAGAATATTTAGATCATGGAAATCTGAATAAATAGTAAATAACAATTTTGTGCAATCAAAGTGCAAAGTAACAAGTAGAAAAAAGAAAGATGCACAAAGAACTTGTATGGAGATTCTTCCATCTACTGATTTTCCCCTGACCTTCTTTTCTCTGTAAATTAAGGGTGCACACTATTGCTGAAAAACACAATCACTACTTAGTGATTGGTCAGATGTCCGTATGCACAAAGGCACAAATCCCTAAACAAGACCATATCTGCAGATTAAGCATTTTTTAAATTTGAACTAGCACCTCGTGACTACATCACGTTATGTACGAGAAGCTGCAAAAGACACAGGCGCAAGTGGAATATAAAAAACACGGTGACATAAATTTTTTAAGTAAATATAATGGGCGATATATTGTGTCCCCAAAAATGATTGAGGTCATGTACATATATTGCGCGATAAGTCGATATATTGATTATTGCGACAGGCCTAGTTTTGCCCCCAACTTTGCACTAAACTCTTGCGCCAAAATACTGCAGAGTTTGATTGAACTTTGAATTTAACAGGAGAGGGATATGGGACATGTTTTCTCCTCCGTGTTGGTAAGTAGTGGTCGACCGATATATCGGCCGATATTTGGCTTTTTTTATTTTTATATCGGCATCGGCTGATAAGTTTTCCTGTTTGGCCGACGCATTCGAGGCGGGACTTTTATTTTGACTGCGCTGACAGCGTCATTAATTAAAATAAATAAAATTATATTGGCTTTATATCGGCCATTGGCCACTCTGCTTTCCAAGATATCGGCATCGGCTGTCAAAAAACCAATATCAGTCGACCGCTATTGGTAAGCCTAATTATTTTGCGATCCTAAATGCATGATTGTATGAGTAAGTAGAATTTTTTTTTATTGGCATTTAAAACTGAATGTTTGTTTTTTTCCTTCTGTCACTATCAGAAAAGACTTATCAGTTAAATCTCTGCCATCAAATGTGACATCGACCACAATGGCAGTGTCATAACACCTGTCCTCGAGTAGTTTCACTCAGTTCGTAGCCCAAGGGGAAGCTCCCATGATGATGATGGAGCATCTCTTTACGTCATATTGTGTGAATGGGTGTAAATAACAGGAAATCCCATCTATCAACTAATATGCCACTATACATGCAATAATGAAACAAGTTCAGTGGAAAACCAAGCTCACATGCTAAATTTATACATTCTGCTGTGACCTACATACATGCAAACACTTTGATTAATAAACAAGTCCTGTGCTTGTCTGTTGCTAAAAGCAGAAAATATAGAAACAGCCTGGGCAATACTGCAAGAGTATGCCATAAAACAAGATCCTCTTAATGTGAATTGATCACAGGCTTCATTTGTTTAATCGCTCCATGTTTTTGGCTTGGCATGTTGTCATGAGCTGGAACTGTGTTCAGTCACGCCACGAATGCAACACGCCGCCTGCATTCAGCGCTGTGGAAACAGAGAACATTTTGGACACAATCACTGCAGTTTTTTTCAAATTTCAGTTCACACTTTCTAATTATCCATATGCCATGAAAATATCTCAATGATGATATCATTGTGTAGGAGCTTCACCAGAGAGTGAATCAAGCGCCAAATGAATGTTGCACTTCAGGGACTCTTGCACTTCAGAGTTTGAATGTTGCACATCAGCTGTTGCATAACTCTTTTACACAACTTGTTACATGACTTATAGGACTGCCAGTAATTAGTGAAGATGTGCTTTACAGTTTAGTAGCATTTTATTTTTTTTCCTGTGAAATCTCTAGTCATGTTTGTTAGTCATGGTTTCCAGAACCAGAAACTTTATTCATATCCTCTGACCCTTGTAATAAAACAGGCTGTTGCTGAAGTACGTTTTAGATTTCTGTATGCAAATCTTTTATAGTTTTTACTAATGTAACATGTTATAATTGGCTCAGTGTACTGGCATAGTTCACGTTAATATTTATCAGGGCAGGCAGAGATGCTGAAAATAAATAGGTGTTATGTAAATGTTGGTGGCTGATTTAAAACTCCAGTGTTGGGTCAAGATGGTCAGTGAGGTCAGCAAGTGGCTATTTTTATCTTTGGCTTTCATGATCATTAAAAGTGGATTTGGAGATGCAACAACTGGAAGAGGGTTTTTAGCCTGCAACAGTAGCTGTTTGATGCTTACTTTTTTCCACCATATGCATATTGTCAAAATACACCGGGTCTCTTATTTTGAAATGCTTTAGCATTGTTGGCTGCTCATTCGGGTCTATAAAATATTACAATATAAAAAACGAGAATTAAACATTGTCATAATTTCATTGTAAGTAATTGCTTGGCATAAATGCATGTTTTTAATTGATTGCTCTGAAACCGCGAGCCCGTTGAATGCGCAACAGTGCCACGTTTTGACTATGAAATGTGCAGCACTCATATATTCAATGAAATCATATATTTGATGATTAATAAAAACATTAGGCTGTTTAGCGATTCCTTTTTTTTTCCATCACCAAATTTAAGACCTCTTAAAATATAATTAAGATGTTTGTTATTAAATTTAAGATACTTAAGGCTTTTTTTAGCTAAAATTTCATAAAACAGAAGGACTTTTTAATTCACACACATGCTCCTAAATAAATTTTACAGCTTGCACATTTATTTTTAGTCGCAAATGTGAGTGAAATGCTTGCAATGCCGAGGCCAGCTGGGCTATCAACACTTTAAAACCATCTCTAAGAAGATGCTTATCATTTTAGGATGAAATGGTAAGTTAAAAAGTAGATATAAGTAGTTTTTAGAAAATATGCCTTGAGACTCTCTCTTATGAACACAAAAATGCTATAGTTCTTTAGATTGCATCTCCCCAAAGCACATCTCTAGAATACTCCTGCAGCCCATCGCTCTCATCTCTCATTGCTCAAGGCAGCTCAGATGAGTTGAGTCTGTGTGGTCTGCTGTTCTAAACTTTTGACCGTCTACATCCTCCATTTACATGTGCTCTGGTTCAAGTTTGATTGAATCATCTCTGTCTGGCTGCTCTTGGACAGACCTGATGAATGAGTCTTTAACCAAGAAAAATTGTGGGAGGGGAGGAAATAATGCAGTTTTATGTTGTCCTATGCAGTATTCCAACAAGGATGCAAATGTGGGACTTTATTTAATCAATCAGGAGATTATTGGATCATGAAAATTGATTGTTTTCCATATCACAATCACCCTTTGAAACTTTCTGTTTTGCCTTGATGGCAGCCAAAAATGAAAGTTGTTTTAGAGGCATTCAGATGAAACTGAATATAAAGAACATTTTCACATGCTTTTTTTGTCTTTCTGAAGTTGCCTTATGCTGGGGATGAGCCAGTATAGACAACTTATCCCACCAGCCATGAAACTGTATTTTAAACCATTTTATTAAAAATATAAATAAATGTTATAAATTAAGTCTGATCTCTGCCACCCCCTGCTGTTGAAAAGACACATCTGCAGTCCATTCACTACAATACAGAAATTCACAAACAGTTTGAGATTGTGGCTATAATATAGCTAGCATATTTTACTACTGGGCTGTTGAATGCTTGAATCTGATTGGCTGACATACGTTCCAAGGTGTGCAATTATTTTCAGGGAAATGCACAGCTAAAGTAGTTCCAGGCGGGTCTTGACCGCATCGTTGATCATGATTTCAGTTATTTCAAAGGTCCGTACAGCAAAACAACCAAAACCCACAGTGACACTGACCAAGCTAATAAATATAGTAAACAATAGGACAAAAATGGCTAATTATTTCCATGTTTCTTGTCACAAGATTACATGATTATGTACAGAAAGTGCACACTCTCTCTCTCTCTCTCTCTCTCTCTCTCTCTCTCTCTCTCTCTCCTGCTCGCTTCCGTACGTACGCACACACATACAGTACTGAAACACACGAACACAGAAACTCATTGTTAGCGCTGCTCTGACAATTTGATCAGTAAAATAGTTCAGCAACTTAAGAGTTTAGCAGGCAACATGACATTTCTCACTAGCGCGGTATGGCGCTGTCCTTGAAGCAGATGAACCTCAAGTTTCACTATTAGAGAGGTTTTTGCCAGGCTCTGTTGAGAGATGCTGATTCGGGTGATTCACAAACGCTTAATCTTTCTCATAACTGCATTAGTCTGCTATCAATGGCTCAAGCCTCCGTTACTGGCACTAAAATTACATTTAAGAATTAGCAACGAAGGTGTGAAATGAGATGCGTAAGAAATTAATCCTACACACTGAGCATTTATGGACAAAAACCTGGCAAATATTAATTCAATGGCCCGTCATCAATTATTTATTACTGTATATTATAGTGTTAATATATACATGTAATATATAATTTTGGTTCTCTCTGCAGCTCTGTTCTGTAACTGCACCACACCACAGTGTGTGAAGGATGGGTATAAGTGCGAGACCAAGGGTGCGTGTGTGGCCTCCACCTCAGTCATTGAAGGACAGGAGCAGCATGTGCGGCTCTGCATCCAGAAAGAGGACCTGGTTCCTCCGGGCCAGCCATTCTACTGCCTCAGCGCAGAGGGACTGCTGAACACTCACTGTTGCTACTCTGATTACTGCAACAGCATCGACCTCAAACTACCAACCGGTGAGCATCAGTTCTTTATATCAGCTATAATCATTATCAAAAACAGCTAGTGAATTCCAGATGAGGAACTAACGCAGCGTGTTCTCTGTCAGTGACAAACGCACCGGGTTCAGGGCAGGACTGGGGGCCGGTGGAGCTCACTGCAGTGGTGGCGGGGCCGATCTTTGTGCTGTGTGTGCTGGTTCTGCTGGGTCTCTTTCTGTTCCAGCGCCGCCAGCGGGCCTACGGTCACCGGCAGAGACTGGAGGTAGAGGATCCCAGCACTGAACACATGTTCCTGGCCAAGGACAAGACCTTACAGAACCTCATCTACGACCTCTCCACTTCAGGATCTGGGTCTGGTTAGTATTGCAGGAGAAAATTTGGTGTATGGTTTGTTTATGCATGTATGCAACAGTGTTATTTTAGTATTATTTACATATTATTGTAGTTTTTAATATTTTGAATTGGCTTTTATTTATTTATTGTAGTCTTTGTAATTTACTTTTTTGTGTGCTTTTGTCATTTTTGTTATTTTTGTTATTTTTTTATTACAGTTTTATTTTTTTCAATATCATAGTTGCCAAGTCAACATTACTACTTTACTTCTACTTTACTATAGTTTCCTATTTATTTATTTTTTATCTTCTTTATCTTTTATCCATTATAGTTTTTATTAATATTTAGAATGAGCTTTTATTTTTATATTTTCGGTTTTAATTTTAGTTCAGGTTTTTTTTTGTTCTTTTTTGTGTGTTTTTTTTTTATCAATACTATTTAGGTTTAATATATTTTTATTTCAGGTTTAATCTAGTTTCAGTTAGTAATTTTAGTGCTTCAACCTAAGCACATTTCAGTTAGTTGCAATATTTCATTTTGGTTTTCTAGTTTTTCATCTATTGTTTATATTTTATTATATGTCAGCTTTATTTCAGTTAACAAAACAATAATATCCCTGATGTAACATGCATAAACCACGTTGTGATTTTGTTCATTATCATTTTCATTTTAATAGCTTATTCTAGTTAATGTGGAGTTCTGGAGGAAAAAAAACTCCATAATATATCCTTTATATATGTCCTATTTTATATGTTTTTCCACTATGTACATATCTAACAAAATGCCATTAAAATTACATTTTGGCTGCCGTTCTCCAAGTTTCATAACCGTAGTCCATTTGACTTATGCAGTGTGTTATTTTATCATTGTTTATATACTTTTCTAGTTTATATTTAAATATTTTGAAATGTTAGTAGTTTTGTTATGTGCTTTTGTCCTTTGTCATTATTATAATTTTTTTTTAATGTCACTATTTAGGTTTCATTTATTTTTATTTCAGCTTTAAGCCTTATTCTCTCATTGATTCTGCAGGTCTGCCGCTGTTTGTCCAGAGGACAGTGGCTCGTACCATAGTGCTGCAGGAGATCATCGGTAAAGGCCGCTTTGGGGAGGTGTGGAGGGGGAAGTGGAGAGGAGGAGACGTCGCTGTGAAGATCTTCTCCTCTCGTGAGGAGCGCTCCTGGTTTCGTGAAGCTGAAATCTACCAGACCATCATGCCCCGCCACGAGAGCATCCTTGGCTTCATTGCTGCCGACAACAAAGGTAAACAAATGAATATGCTGTGTGTTTTAATGAGCTGTTTTATAGTAAGCATAGTGTTGTCATCTAGGTTTAATCATGTTTAATTCTCTCTGTCACAGATAATGGCACCAAACATAGAGATCACACACATATTGGGTCGGTAAACATTTTTTATCACTACTTTTCAGTACAGAATCAGATATTTTTAAAACGGATATTTCCCTTGACTCCATCTGCCGTCTTGAATGCATTCTGGGCTGGTCATATCCTTGAAGGATACATGCAGTGGTGACTTAGGCTGTGTTCTTGTGCAGCCCACTGTTTGAAACAGTCGTGATGCCTAAAAATGTTGTGTATGTGGGAGCGCGTGAGGGTGTGGAACACTTTTCTTCTGTGGTCAGAGAGTTTTTACTAGATGCGTGTGTATCTGTAATGGTTCTGTCTTTGTCATCAGGGAAGCCTGGCATCGCTCACCGTGACCTGAAGTCCAAGAACATCCTGGTGAAGAAAAACTGCATGTGTGCAATCGCTGATCTCGGCCTGGCGGTTCGTCACGAGTCCATCACTGACACCATCGATATCGCCCCCAACCAGCGCGTCGGCACTAAGAGGTACAGCTTGTTACAATAATCCGACCAAAAACGTCTGCTCATATGGTCAATGGTTTGTGTTTTCTACTTGATGTTCTTTCAGTGATCCTGTTTGTGTGTGTGTTTCAGGTACATGGCACCTGAGGTTCTGGAAGAGACTATTAACATGCGTCACTTCGACTCGTTTAAATGCGCTGACATCTACGCTCTGGGACTCGTGTACTGGGAGATCGCTCGCCGCTGCAATGCTGGAGGTGCTGAAATTAATCGAAACCATTCTTGAAGAAGCACGTTAAAAGTTAAAGTGAGAAATATTTTTGTTCTTATTTATGTTTTGTTTGCATTCAGGTATTCATGAAGAGTACCAGCTGCCCTACTATGACCTGGTGCCCTCTGACCCATCCATAGAGGAGATGAGGAAAGTGGTGTGTGATCAGAGGTTACGACCCAACATCCCCAACTGGTGGCAGAGCTATGAGGTGAGAGAGAGAGATCCTCTGCAGCTACTAAACTAGTCTTCTCATCATTTTCCTTTTTTTCCTGAACCCACTTAAAATAGCCTTTCTATATCGTTGCAAATATGGTGATATCTGAATTGCCTGTTTTTGCTATTTTATTTGTACATGGTCTTTTCAGATTGGGAAGGTGTTGTTGAGTTCTGAAAGATGAGATTTCCAAACCTTTTCTCATTTTTGCCGTTTCAACAAAACTTCAGAAAGTGTTGTTTGTCCACTTCATAAACAATTTTATTAATTAAAATGTTATATGAGCACTTTTATTTTTGCATTTTCTATTTTTACTAGCAATAAACAATACACATAAATATATATGTATTTTTAAAATAATATAAAAAAAATTATTTGACATATTTATATATTGTAAGTATATAGTTTATTAACTGTATATATTATTTAATTTTTTTATATGTGCTATTAATAATAAGTATATAATTTTTAAACACACACACCATTCATTTTGCAGACAGTAACATGTACTAACCTTATTGAAAAAAAAAAAAAAGGTTATTTCAGTAAGCTGATTATTGGTATTTATCAGTGTTCACTAAAGTGAATTGCATGAAAAGTTTACTTTACACTCACAGTCGATTCTAGGAGAGTCTGACAACTAATAAACACAAACATAGAGATCACACACATATTGGGTCGGTAAACATTTTTTATCACTACTTTTCAGTACAGAATCAGATATTTTTAAAACGGATATTTCCCTTGACTCCATCTGCCGTCTTGAATGCATTCTGGGCTGGTCATCATTATTATTAATAACTTATATTATTTATTAACATATATTATGGTTTCATATCAAATAAAAAAATTTTTTCCCTAAATAACTTAGTAACATGTTGCAGGGTTGAATGAGTTTGACAACATTTGTTGATTTAGAAAGTCTGATCAAACTTGATTGACAGAAAATTATTGCTGTTTTGTTATTTTACAATAGATATTTAATTTTGTTTGTGTCAAAGGAATGTGACACCATGTATGTCAGAAGTGCTGCATTATTACGTAAAATGCTTAAAGAGTGTGAAAACAAAAAGCCTGTTTGCTCTGATATGAACGCGCATGGTAAATTGGCTCTTGTTTCCACCATTATTATTAATAACTTATATTATTTATTAACATATATTATGCTTTCATATCAAATAAAAAAATGTTTTCCCTAAATAACTTAGTAACATGTTGCGGGGTTGAATGAGTTTGACAACATTTGTTGATTTAGAAAGTCTGATCAAACTTGATTGACAGAAAATTATTGCTGTTTTGTTATTTTACAATAGATATTTAATTTTGTTTGTGTCAAAGGAATGTGACACCCTGTATGTCAGAAGTGCTGCATTATTACGTAAAATGCTTAAAGAGTGTGAAAACAAAAAGCCTGTTTGCTCTGATATGAACGCGCATGGTAAATTGGCTCTTGTTTCCGCAGGCGTTGCGTGTGATGGGGAAGATCATGCGGGAGTGCTGGTACGCTAGCGGCGCTGCGCGACTGACGGCTCTCCGCATCAAGAAAACCCTGTCTCAGCTCAGCGTGGACGAAGACATGAAAATCTGAGCGAAACACTACCTTCTGCCAGAAACACTCCGAGCAAAGAGAACGTGTACAGACATGCGACCACTCGAAACTATCCTGCCAGTTCAAAAGTATTTCCGTCCACTGAGTTGGGACGGGGCCTACCTCACCCCACCGCCAAAACTACTGAACCTACGGTACCCAACAGCCCTCTGTGCTCTCCTCCTCCTCTCTACATCTACTATCGCCAAGCTCGCCAATCAAAATGCACATGTGACTCGATGGATTCTGATCAAATCAGTTTTGCCCCAAAGATCATTTTTCCAACCAGAGCCGCTCATATTTAAGCAGTTTTGACCGGCTTGTTGCATCCGCTTAGGTCAGTCTAGCAGACTACCTCGGTTAACTAACTATGTAGAATACACAAAGTCCAGTTGAGAGGCGATAACGGGCGGGTTGAGCTGGTAAGCGCGGTGAACTGGTGCAAGATGGCACTGCTAGCGCCCGACACGATCAGCTGATTCCTTTCATTGCCACGTCAAAGCTGTTAGCAAAGCAACCTTATTTGCACTTTATCCCAGAGGTTTTGTGAGCGTGACGTGGATTCATCTTGGTTTTGGAATCGCTCACTGGCACACGCGTCTATTCTTACTACTGAACGGTACGGAGATATCTATTTATTTTAGCTCGTAGATCCTTCATATGTCCTTATTTTTTTATCGCCGTTAGATTTCCTCCTCTCCTCCGTGGGCAAACAAAGCTACTGTATATAGTATATTTTTAAAAAGTATGGAAATGTAAATAACTTACCCTTTTTTTAATTTCCAAGTCCGTCGACTAAAGCTAAAGGTTTGATCGTGTAGGAACATGAGAGATGTGAAGCTGTACGGGTCAGCGGAAGCTGTGGCTAAAGTACAGGCTTTTGTTCAACTTTGTTTTTCATAGCTAAACCTGTCACTGTAGCATTAAATGACACTATAATGACGCACATTTTATTAACCGAGGAGCATTGGGACTGTTTTGTTTTTTAAGGAATATTACATGCAAACATAAGAAGGTTCATCGTTTATCGTCCTCATACCGCTCCAAACCCGTATGACGGAATTTTTACTGTAAAACACAAAAGGACATATTGAGCAGAATGTGCAAGCTGCACTCAAAAAATGATGAAACATCACCATAAATGATCAATATGAATTTATGCTATATTCAAAGTTCTCTGAATTCCTATGAACTACATCTGTGATACTTTATTCATGCAATTTAATTGCAAGACAAAGGTTTGCATGAACTTGTCCAATGCAAGAAAAAGTCATGCAGGTTTGGAGCATCATAAGGGCGAAAAATGACAGGATTTGAATTTTTGCGGCTCCTGCCGCAAGTGACATTACGACGTGATCCTAGGAAATAGATCTGATTCTTCTTGATGCACTGGGTCTGTAATGAGAAGAATGACTTGAAAATGTAACTTGAAAAGTTTGGCGTCGAAGCGCACTGCTTTACTCCTACTACACTGTATTTATGACTCCTGACAGACATTGTCTCTCTCTCGTACTCCATGGATAAATACTACTGGCCTTCTGTCCCTCGCCGCTTAATATGCAAGATGTATAAGTATAGTTTCTATAATGTATGACCTTTTTTATTAATCCGATTTGATTCAGTAGACAATTGTGTGGTTCTATTATGTGGTTTGTTTTTTAATGTGACTCGTTTTTAATTCAGGTTTTATTCGTATAGCGCTTTTAACAGTAGGTCTTGAAGCAGCTGCACAGGGTTTTTGGTCTGCGGTCTTTCACTGAATTTGATTTTATCTCCCAGTTTCACTGGACCTGGTGTCTAGAGTTTGTGTTTTGACAATCTGAACAAGTACTGTTATTCTCCTTCGTCCATTTGCAACAATTCAGTCACCTTACACTATTAAAATGTGTCCAGAAAAAGCCAAAAATTATTGCATATAGTTGTAAGAACATGTTAATGCTTTCTTTAGATTATATTTTCATGTTATGTTTATGTAGATCCAAAATGACAAGCTACCATGTGAAATGTCTTCGTAACACTGGATTGAGTCACAACACTACTGAGAAATATAAGACGACACTGGCACATCGGCTGCTGATTGAGAAAATCATCTTGTGTTCGGGTTTGATCTGTATTTGTTTCTACTGTCGAGTTCGGTTTGTACATGTATTTATAGTTTCCAGAAGGCATGTCGCTGCTGGCAGGATTTGGGCTTCATAAACGTCTGCTGACTGTAGTGGAGATGTCCGTCGCCCGGCTAATTATAACAGCTAAACGAGGGCGACAGTGGGATTTTACGTCTTAGTCCCGGTTTAGCATAAGGAAGTTTCCTCAATCATCTGACCTCACAGCCGACCTGTATAATCCGAGTGTATTTCCCAAATCTACATGGAGAGACTTTTCAGGAATTTCAGTTTCCAATCATGTACATGGGTAATTATTAAATGGTAATAAATACAGGTTTTCCTACATTTGTCATGTGTTCATTCCTGCTTCAGAACTTTTAGCAATGTAAATTTGGTGAGTGTAATTCAATAACTTGTTCAAACTATAGAAAACATGTAATTTATGTTGTCAAACATGACATTTACACAAGACGTTTATTAAAAACTGGAATAAAGCCTGAGGGAACATCAAGAGTTCATCAGATAGCTATACTGCAAAACTAGTTCAGCTCGATCGCAAAGGGAAATTAGAAATACAAATGCAGCTTTCATCTAATAAAGTGACTTTTTATATTTTTGTTTGACATGTTTTAGAGCCAAATAAAGATAATGCAGTCAAATCAGACTTTAAATAAATACTTTTCAACCTGATAATGTTCAATTAGAAGTGAAAATGTGCTCTTGTAACTTTTTCAAGTTCTCATAAAATTCAAGTTTCGAAATATAAAAATCACAATTGTTTGCTTTTTAAAGACTTTACATCTTAAAGAGATTTCAGAAGCTTTACAGATGCTTTAAAAGTGAAATGTTGCTGTAAATGAGGCTTTTGAGTAATTTTGCTGGACGAAACATACTATTACTAATTTTATGCACACTGGAAATTAATTGGCACTATTAGTAACCGCAATGACAGACTGATTTATGACTTTCTTTGACATGGATGTATGATTACCAAAAAAGAAAAAACAAATTTTTTTTAGATGCCCAAGAATATTAGAAGACAAGTGTCATTTGTGATCTTCACAATGTTCGCCGAAGGTTTTTATGAAAAATAAATCAAAGCAAAAGTAAATTGATACTTTTATTCAACAAGGATGCATGAAATCAGTGGCAGTAAAACATTTGTAGTGTAATAAAATATTTCAATTTCAATTAAATGCTGTTCTTTTGAAATTTCTATTCATTAAAGAATCCAAAGTAAGAATTTATCCAAAGTAAGAAATGCAACACAACTGATAAACTAAACCGATTTTATTTGCTTGTGCCTTGAATAAAACATCTTTGACATGAGAGAATTAGAAAACAGTTCAGGTGTATTTACAGATGTGTGGGATAAAAATGATTACAGAGCAAAATATATTTCAATAAAATGATGGAATGATCTCTTCTCACAGCAAAACTAGCTACAATAAAAACGAGAAGTCCAGAGCCGATCTGATGTTTCTCATGATTCTGTGATTCTCATTTTCGCTGTGGTACATTTTTTTTGTCAAATGACATCAACAGCTAACTGTGGAAGCATATCTAACTGAAATGACATCACAATTTACCCATAATGCACAGCTGACAGAGGAGATCAGTGGCAGTTTCTCATGAGAGCTTCTAATGTTTTATCTATAAAAACACTGCTTCCTCTTCACGTCAATGCATTGATAAAAGCCACTGAGATCATGCAGCTGAAAACAACTGAAGCAGAATCAAATCAGTAGCAACATGTTAAGAGCAACCTAGAAGTAAAACACACGTCTGCATCAGCCATAGAACTGTCCGTCCGGCCCAAAACAAGATAAACTAAATGCATCTATGATAATATTCTGGAGCTGTAATTGTTTTTCCAATGCTATAAATATTCAATGGTTAATTTCAAAACCAAACTCCATGTTCTCACATTATAAAGGAAGCTGAAATGGCTCTGGTTTGAGGTTCAGAGAAACTGGATCTGAATAAAGCAATCAAACTTCCTCTGAATACTTCCGGAGTGACTGTAATCAGTGTGTAGTGTGGAAACAGACCGATTCAGATGAAACTCTTCAATTTCAAATGCCCACATGATAGAAAAACGCTGTGCTACCAGATCAATAACGGAATGTTTCAGTCCATACTCGGTTTCTTCTCCACTGAAACTTAAACACCTGCACAAACATCTCATCTGCATTTCCAGCGCTCATCTGCTGTCCTGTGAGGGAAATAACATGAACGCCGGCTGACACGTCAGCAAGAACTGTGCCGAGTGACAATTAAAATCATTTGAATTCTGTCCAATTAAAACGATAGACTCCCTGAAGCGGTACGGAGGCTCCATGATTAAAAGAGTTTGTTCTTAGAAGAGCAATGTCTTTTCTCAGCATGTCTTTCTTCACTCTGTAATCGGTTGTGCTTCAGTATCTCCTGCGTTTGGGATGGTTGTGTGTCATCTCTATCAATCCTTTTTCTGGAACACCGTGTGGCTTATTGAGAGAAGAGTAAATACAGAGACGTTCTGCTTCACTTGTCTCTACTTCCATCAAGCACTTCCTGAAGAGGAAAACAAAGGAAAGGCTGTCAATAGATCAAAACAATCAACCAAAAATGAATCAGTCCAACTAGCATTAGATTAGACTAGATTTGATTCTTAACAAATGAAGTCGTACAGTCAACTATAAAAAAAAAAAAAGAGTTTGACAGCCATTAAACTGCCATTTGGAAAAGGTTATATATAAAGATTCTTTCATGTTCCACTGAAATAACAGAATATGTGTTAATGATAATGCATAATGCAGTCTTACCATCGTCTCCACTGGTGAGCACCAGCGCCTGTAAGATATCAGACAGAGACACGATGCCTTTCACAACCTCCTGCTCATCCACGATCACTAACCTGTGAACCTAACACACACACACACACACACACACACATCAGTCTGAATGATTACATGATCAGACAGTGAGCTACATCTTCATCTGTCCATCCAAATATACATGCACAACTGAAAGTTTTATGTTTTATTCATCAGTCAAATCAAAACCATCTGAAAATACACACACACACACGTTTTTTTTATTCAAACTTTTATTTACCAAGGACACTAATTGATCAAAAGTGACTGTTTTCAATGTTGATGATAATCAGAAATGTTTCTCGAGCAGCAAATCAGCATATTAGAATGATTTCTGAAGATCATGTGACACTGAAGACTGGAGGAATGATGCTGAAAATTCAGCTGCGCATCACAGAAATACATTTCACCTTAAAATATATTCACATAGAAAACAGCTATTTTCAATTGTAACAATAATACACAATATTACTGTTTATACTGTATTTTTGATCAAATAAATACAACCTTGGTGAGCAGACGAGACTACTTTTTTTTTAATCCTACAGACCCCAAACATTTGAACAGAATGTGTTCCTCACCTCGGCCTCCACCAGTCGGTTGATAATGGCTTCTAGCGTCTCATTGGCTCGGCAGGTGAGCACACCCTCAAAATACTGCGAGCGATGCTGGAGGGCTTTAGTCACAGTGATGTCCAGGTTATTGTATGTCTTCTCAGCGGCCAGATTCTGTGTGATGAGAAGAAAACCAGATTGAGACACAGACACAGAGACTTTAGGAATAGTTCACCCAAAAATTAAAAAATCTCCATAATACTGCTTTCGCTTGTGGAAAAAATGGTCTGGTCTGAATCAGGAGAGAAATCTGCTCAGATCAAACACCGTTTACGCGTCAAAAACAGTCCAAAACTTCAAAAATCATATCTAAACAAATATGTGTGTGGATTTTGTTGTGAAGGAACAACAGGAGATGGGCATTTTAACGGGAGAAAGCGTTATTATGGACTCATATTTTAGCCGGAAACAACAGTTTGAAGTTAAAAACATCTTGATGGATTTGTTACTTGAGATGTTTTTTTATCAGCTGTTTGGATGCTGTCATTCTGACGGCACCCATTCACTGCAGAGCAAGTGATGGAATGCTACATTTCTCCAAATCTGATGAACAAACAAACTC